AGGCTGGCGTCCCCCGAGCCCAGCGTTAGCGTGTCCGCCCACAACGCCGCCATCGGGCTCGCCAAGGCCCCTGGCAGCACAGGGCCCTGGGAGAAGTTCTGCTTCGGCCTCGACGCCTCCTCTCTGCAGGTAACAACTGCCAGATGGCGGGGTTTGGCGTGTCGATGCTCCCCGGAGCGCCGTGGCGTGTGGCTTTCTGCCGTTTGGATGAACGACGTCTCGGGGAGGCGTTCGGTTGTCGGGCTGAGGTCGGAAGCTGGTAGTGATGGGAACTGCTTCCCGCAGAGAGCTGTTGGCGGATGTAAGTGGAACGGCCTAATTAGTGCTAGTCTTGTCTGAGCGGTACGACGGTCACGTCACGGAGCTGACATCTCTGTCCTTGGAGCTGAAATGACCTCTGCCTCCCATGCTGGTTCTTTCCTAAGGGAAATTCTGGTGAGGAGGGAAAGTGGAGCCTATCCTGTGTCCTTAGTGTTAGCCTTTAAGGCTGCATAAACTGCTCGTGCTGCCTATTTAGATGATGAAAGGAGATGTTTATGATATAGCAGATGTACACACACATGCATGCAGTGTCATGAGATGCAGGCGTGTCAGTGGCGGGTACCCGTGTCTGTATTTCAGGACAGAACTCCCGCTGACAGTCACAGGGACACCCATTAGTTCAAGCAGAGCAGTACAGCAAACTGTGAACTGCTGCTGATGGCCATTTTGCTGGGCTGCTTCTTCATCCTCTCTTCTTACCAGTTGGAAGAGGATTCTAGTTGTGATGTTTGATTATTTTTGGGGTCGTTAGGCAGTGATGCTGCCTGTGGCGGGAGGCGGTTGGCACGCCTGCTGAGAGCTGGCAGCGTCCCCGCAAAGGGATGCTCGCCCTGCGGCACGCTTGCTGTCAAGAAGCACAGGTTTTGTGGAGATCGATGGTACTCTAAGTTCAGAGTTTCAAACAACTTAGCATGAGCAGGGAGTAAGGCTGCACAATTCTCGTGTCACCTTTCAGCCATGTGATTTGGAGTTTGTCTTTACTTTAAAACAATAAAATCCTTTGCAGTTTGGATCGCATACCGTGGGAGTGCAAGTCCAGAAAACTGGCAGGCTTAAAGTATATCCACTGGGATGGTAGCTTGGAGCGTCTTAATCGCTCCGTCCCTACAATTAGAAAATACTGCATGCTCTTGAAAGACGTATTTATCCAATTAGTATATGTGGAACGGGATCTTGGTGTTTTATTTCCCATTTAGCAGGCTGCCTACCTTTTCTGCGATAGTGGCTCCTCTGAAGGAGGAGCTGATCATTTTGGGTGAGTATGGAAGATGATGAGTTTATCGAGAACCCCCTGCGCTGAGCTGTTTGCAGTGCATTTCCTGCGCTTTTACTGGAGCAGGAGCCTGCGAGTCTGTGCAAGTGGGGCCACAAAACATTCGGCACTGCTGTGGGTTGGTGTGATCAAGTCCTGGGTGTCGATCTGATGTCGAACAAGCCACCGTGCAAACTACTGCCTGTTTTCTGTGTGGGGTAGGACCTACAGGCATTTTATCTGCTTTTTCAGATAGTCTGAATATCCATCTCTTTCACCACGCGCCGTGATGTGTGCTCTTGCTTGTTGTTTTAAGGCGTGGAGGCCTAAATGCAGGTTTTAAGGGAAAACAACATCTCTCTGTGGGGATACAGCTGAAAATTCAGTTTGGGAGCAGGAAATTTGGCGGCGGTATCTCTTTAGTGCTGTGATTGATGGACATTTCTGCGTGCTTCGATCTCAGTCTGGTGACTGAAAGTGTTTGGTATGTGCATTCGTTATTATGATTGGGGGAGCATCTTTTGATTGAAAGTTGTTAAAAGGGCGTGTAGTAATGGGATTTTGGTCAATATTACATTTTTGTGAGTTAAAAACTCTTTGAATGTGGTGAATTTATTAGGTATTGCTAGATGTTTTGGGTGGAGTAGTAGTGGGAGATTTGGCATTAGTCGTAGGCCTCCCAGCTGTTCATCCGTGTAGCAGGCTAGAAAAGATTGCTTTCTTCTGGGGTCCTTTTGGATACCGGGCCTGCAGATCGAAGCGGCTGAAATAGTCTGAAGTAATTTGTGCTGCAGAATTTGTTTTTTTTTTAACTGTGCTGTTTCCCAAAAGTGGCTGTGCCAGCGCCGATAGCTGCATTCACTCAGCGTGAAGTGAGAAAAACAAATATTTAATTAGAGCTACTATTACATGCTGTCTTCTATCCACTAACTATTTGCTCGTGGCAGCTTCTTTTCTCCTGATGTTGATTTCTTCCATTTGTCTGTCTTCTGGGAAGTTGCTTCTTACTGGAGACCAAGGGCTTCTGTGGTGTTTCAGGGAACGGACTCCTCGCCGGCTTAGTTACTTGAGAAGTCTGCCCAACTCGGCGATGGCTCGTGCCGCAGCGGCTGTTGCAGTACCTCGTTACGCTGCCTGTGTAATTATCTCCCGTTAACTTACCACGCAGCCAGGAAAATCACAGAATCACAGAATCACAGAATAGTAGGGGTTGGAAGGGACCTCTGTGGTGTGCCTCAGTTTGTGCCCATTGCCCCTTGTCCTGTCGCTGGGCACCACTGAAAAGAGCTTGGCCTCATCCTCCTGACACCCACCCTTCAGATATTTGTAGGCATTTATAAGGTCCCCTCGCAGCCTTCTCTTCTTCAGGCTGAACAAGCCCAGTTCCCTCAACCTCTCCTCGTAGTGGAGATGCTCCAGTCCCCTCACCATCCTTGTAGCCCTCCGCTGGACTCTCTCCAGTAGCTCTTCATCTTT